TTTATATATATCTATCACATTTTGGATCTATTTATCTATCTATCCTTTTAGTTATGTATGCAAGTTTGTTCATATATGTTTTTCATTTTCAATAATTATCTATATCTATATCTTTCTATCTATGTATCTGGTTATCTATGTATGTCTGTTCATATATATTTTTCATTGTGTATAAGTATTTCTCTATATAACTATACTGCTCTGTTCACATATATCTATCTATCTATCTATTTCTCTCTCTCTCTTTCTCTCTCCATATATATATATATATGTGTGTGTGTGTGTGTGTGTGTGTGTGTGTGTGTGTGTGTGTGTGTGTCTATCTGAGTTTTTGTATATCCACCTATCGTCTCAGTCTATTCACTATCTATCTATCTTTCTGTTTAACTATGTATGTCTGTTCATGTATATTTTTATTTTGTATATCTCTCTATAACTATCTTGCTCTGTTCACATCTATCTATCTCTATCTATATCTATATCTATCTATCTATCTATCTATCTATCTATCTATCTATGTGTGTGTGTGTATCAATATGTTTGTCTATCTATTGAGTTTCAGCCTATCGATCTAGTTATGTTATTATCTGTTTGTCTCAATCTGTTCATATATATCTATCTCAGTTCATTCAGTATCTATCTATCTATCTATCTATCTATCTATCTATCTCAGTCTGTTCATTATCTACCTGTCTATCTGATTAGCTATGTATGTTTGTTCATATCTATTTTTCATTCTGTATACAACTTGTTCAAAGTTATTAAGCAAATCATATAAACTTCAATAATTCAAATTTGTTTTGATAAAAAATGTCAAATTTTAAACAATAAATTTAGATATCGAAACAAAGCCTTAATTATAATTGTAGGTAGTATCAATGTTTTGTTGAAATCATTTGATGTATTCGAAAAAAAATGCTGTCTGAAGTTATTAGGCAAAACCAAATAATCATATTTTGCTTCAATAAAATCTTAAGGAAAACATCAAAAATTGATCAACACCTATAATAGAACAAATAATAAAAACATAAGTCTTTGAATTTTTTCTATTTTAATATAGTGATCCTTCTTCTGAATAACAGCCATTATCCATTTTTTTTTTATTTCAGCAGGTTCAATTTCCGACATGGAAGTTTTAATTGCTTCCCATTGGTCTGCTTCGCTGTTATATTGTTTGTCACCTTCATATAATTTCATCTTTACAATTAACCATAGATTTTCAATCGGATTCAGATAAAGACTTGATGGTAGCCATTCCATTATTTTCTCTTCTATAAAATGTTTTATGCTCAAATAATTCACACGTAAGCTTAAATACACGAGAAGGAGCATTGTCGTCCATATATACACATACATAAATACACATTTCACTTTGAAACAGTGAGACAGGGATTTGTAGCATGCAAATAAAGTCTTGTTCATATAATCGCCATATTTAGCACTGTTAAGTTTAACTGCTTCAAATGGTCCAATAATAGTTTGGTCAATAATTCCAGCCTATATAATAACACTACTGTCTCTATGTTGCATTCTTTTAGCCACAAGCATGTAGGAATTGGATAAACTCCATCCTTTGACCCATCCATCAGGTCCATCAAATATCACTCGAGATTCATCCCTGAAAATTACTTTAGAAATGTCAATTTCCATGTATTTCTTCGCCCAATTTTGACATTTTAAAATATTTCCTTTCGTCAGAGTTTTTTGCAGATACGAATTCACAAAGTATTCTACACATTTTCTGCTTCTTGACTCCCTCATTTCCAGTCTTTTCAAAAATCTGAGCGCTGCTCAAATGTGATTGATTCGATGTAACTTGCTTTAGTTTACGTTCATCTCGAACAAGCAAATTCTTAAAGTCTTCGAGTTTTCAACTTATATTTTCAACAGCAATCTTTATCGTTCGATGATCACTGCAAAGTGTCTTTGATATCTCCAATGTGGACATTCCCTCATTCAATAACTTTGTTATTTTCTGTTTTTCAGAAGTTCTTAGATTCTTCCCTTTACCCATGTTTCAACATATATTATGGAATCAGAAAATAGTTTTTATTAGTTTTCAAAGATCTTAAGCTAATATTATTTTAATCTGCATAATAACTTCGGTCAATCCATTTTGGTAAATTCCAAGTATCTCGAAAAATAACCATTAAAAGTAGCAGCAAGTTTAATTAAATATTTTACTAATAGTAGAAATGGACGAGTTTAATTTTGACAAATATTGGTTCAGAACTTTATTCAGGTTCATTTGATTTGCATAACTTCAGACAGACGGTATCTCTCTCTCTCTCTCTCTCTCTCTCTCTCTCTCTCTTCCGTTTATTATTTATTATATATATATATATATATATATATATATATATTGTTCTGTTTATATAGAAATATCTCAGTCGAATCAGTAAGTATCTTTTTATATGTCTATCTCAGTCTGTTCATTATCTATCTATCTATCTATTTATCTATCTATCTATTTATCTATCTATTTATCTATCTGACCTGATTAACCACTTAACGTTTATTGCCATATAAAATAATTATTCTTGTATCTAAATGTTTCTTTGATGAATGAAAAGTTATGTAAAAAATTCTTCTCTCTCATGCTATGGCATTTTAAGCGTTGTGACAGCGAGCAAATGTCGAAAAGTACAAGATACCGGCTCGTAAATCAAGTGGCAATAAATATGAAAACAAATACACTGCCTCCTTTGTAAAAAAAAAAAATTAGGAGAATCAAATGAAATGCTTACCTGTGCTCACATCCACTGTTTGGTCTCTGTAAAAAGCGTAGATAAGTATCAATATGCCTAATCAAATGAAATGCGCGACAGAAAACATGAGTACTGAAATTTCAACAGTTCTTTTCAACAACGAATGCCTTCGTGGGCAAGATGGATGCAACAAAAAAAACCGTCCTTACTCGGTGGTACAGGTGTGACGTTTTGGGATGGGCTCTGTTCTTATAGATAATCGAGTAAAAGGCGTGGCTAGTTCCAGATGGTGTTAGGATGGGAGCTCAAACAGTTTTGAAAGTCGTCCTATTAGAAATGAAAACTAATGAATATTAAAATGTTTTTCAATGATACCTGATGAAGTAGTCAGTTTGACTCAAAATTATGTCAATTGAAAATGTATGGAGCATTCTGAAGGGAAAAGTTTATATTGGCGGTCGCTCAATTACCATTAAAGAAGAATTTTGGAATGCTTTCCGGTTGATGGATTCTATTCTGGGTCCCTTCATCTGAAGAAATACAAAAGTCCATATCAATAATGGATGGACGATTACAAAAGCCAGTTTCAATTTAAGGATCCTTCATTTCCCATTAATACTGCCCTTAGAAATTTGTTTTAATTACAATGACACTGCTTTTAATTGGCCTTTAAAATATTTGTTCTCATGAACTTTGCTCTGTTCTTTAATTATAATTTTTACTTGCAAAATAATACTTCTTGGAGTTTCAGTAACCTGAATATGATACTACTTCAAATTAGAAAATTCGGTAAAATTCATAAACCAGTTGCCACGTTGGAAGAGTGACGTGACGTCTATTATAATACTAGCTTAAATGTCGCTCTATCGGGCAGCATTTAAGTTAGTTCCTGCAGGGGATTTTTGATTGGACCTTCATCACAATAGGTAGGAAGAGTCGGATATGATAGGCAACTACAGAAGAACTCAAAACTGATTGCTGGATTTAACTATTGCATTAATATTTACGCTTACCTTTTAAAAGTCCAACGATAATTCTTCTGTCATCACTTAATTTAAAAGACAATTTGATGTAGGTAGGTCCTTACTTTCCGTACAAACAATTATTTTTATTTCCCGGATGACTTTCGCTGGATTTCACAGTTAATTTCAATTATTTCCAAATTTATTTCCAAGTTAGAAAAATTGTTATCGTACAAAAAATTCGTCGCAAAAAATCACGTAGAAAATTGCCAAAAACAATGGCAGTAATGAAAACTTAGGAATCCAGAATTCCTGAATAGCGAGTCTGGATCCGGCCCAGAAGGTTTTTAATTTGCTTTCGATTAATTAACCGATTTTCGAAATGTTAGACTACGGCCTCTCCCACTATTTGTATCTACCTTACTGTTTATCTGCTATCTCATTGTTCATATCAATCTATCTACCTATATATATATATATATATATATATATATATATATATATATATATATATATATATATATATATGGTGGACTCTCCCGTCGTATTCGACGTATGAAGGTCAAGTAACTCAGTTCCTAGGAACCGACAGCCCAGACATCAGCACATATGATTAGATTATAATGGTGAAGTCTTTGTGCAGAATTTTTGAAGGGCTGAATACAGACACCTAGTACACTGCGTACTACAAGGTCCACAAACAAACCTCCGCAGGTTTTGAATTCAGAGTTGTCCTTCTCCTAGACCAGTTTCCATCTAAGGTTATAGAAAACAGTCTGTCCTGCTATTTAGCCATAGCTGGAGGGTGAAGAAGAGGATTAATACCTTTCCAAAGGGTAATAGCACGTAAGTGAATGTAATGGATTCGACTGGAATTCGAACTCGGCTTTCCGATTTCTCAATCCAAGCTGCTATCCGTGCTTTATATGTTCATATCTATTTTTCTCTCTATTACAGTTTATCTGCCATCTCATTGTTTATATCTATCTATCTATCTATCTATCTATCTATCTATCTGTCTGTCTGTCTATGTTCATATCTATCTCACTGTTTATCTACCTATCTATCTACCTATCCATCTGTCTCAATTATTTCAACTTATTTCACAAGATTATCTTCCTAAATCCTTCTCAAAACAAACAATCTTTTCTCTCTATTTTTCAATCTCATCAAGTCAAGCCTCTTTCGGTCTCACCATCGCCATCTAAGTTTTTTTTTTTTAAATCTTTCTCTTCATTTCTCGTTTGCCTTTATTTTAGAAAAAAAAACCTTTGCCTTCTCGATTTATCCGTCGACCTATCTATACTTCCCTTTCTTTCCCCCAGCCCATCTGCCAAAGCACGGTCATACAGTTCTTATCGTCGATCTCCGAGCTTTATCGGCTTTCAATTTTTATCGCTGTCACTGTGGAATAGATGACACAGCCAAACTATTCGCTCGGCCCTAAATACGTTTCTTCCTTTTTTTTTCTTTTTTTAAAAGGTTGGTGCGTGCAACGAGAGAGCCTGTGAACCAGAGTAGCATAAAAATAACAAATAGCTGAATGGAATCAAATGAAGGACTCAGTTTAATAATGTAATCGACGTCATGGCAGTAAAGAGTAACAGTCGAAGTAATATGAGAAGCAAAAAGCCCTGGGGTTAGATGAACTATTGCGTTTGCAAAACTAATGTTACAGAGTTCAAATCTTCTTAGTTCCTTCAGAGACTGGATTTTAAATTTGTCTGGACCTTGTCAAGATATGAATATAATGGATAATATTAGGTTCTTTGGAAAATAATGTCCGATTTTATAATCAAATATTATTCCTAAAGTAATGGATTTAAACAGTGTCTAAATCAATCAGAAAAGGAACCCTGAACATATAGGTTATCCCAATTGACTTTGCAAAAAAAACGTCACTAGGGGGGGGTCTCCTTAAGCCTATAAAAGGGCGTGCATTTCTCTCTCCCCCCTTTTTTTACAGCTTTTCAACTCTGGTCTTAAAATGTAGTTCGTACATGGGTAAAGTGTCCCCCACTGGAGCACCTTCATTTTCATGGTTTTTTCTCCTGGCTTTTTTACTCTCCTACACACGCTTTTTACGCACGCATACACGCACACACACATACACACACAAACAAACACATTCTTATTATAGCTAGTTTCATAGTTTTCCTTTCGTCACATGTAATTCCTTTTCTAAATGCATTCATTGTCGTTTGTTTTATATTTATTGTTTTATGATACCCATTTTTTTTACCGGACTCACATTGAGTCCGTCAATATTATTTGTTGGATAAATTTTCCAGGAATCTCTAATTATTCACTATCGAACATAATAGAGACTAAATATTTACCCAATCATACTAGCAATCCAGCAACAAACATCTACACATTTCTATCATCGAGTTACAAAGGTATTTATGATTTTGCAATCAAGCTCTAAAGGTGTGGACGTCGAGAAATATTTGTATGCATTTTCTGCGCCTCTTTTGTAAGGGAATGTTTTTTGGCTTAGAGAAATTTCAAGATGCTTGAAAAAGTGGTAGTCAGTGGTCGATAGATAAGGGGAATATGATGGATGTGGCAATGTCTCGTGTCCTAACTCAGTGTACTTCTGCAGTATCATCATGGCAATATGTAGGCGAGCATTGTCATAAGACAGAATTGAACTTCGTCAATTAACCAATCACCGGTTGAATTTTGCCAAACTGAAAGTACATTTCATCCATTTGCCGGCAGTAAACTTTGGCAGTTTATGTTCTGGTTAGATTCCAGAAAACGGTAATGAATAACGACAATGGTGGACCATCAGAAAGTCACAATAATCTTCTGTCGGTGCAATTTCCGTTTTGGAAATTTGTTTGGGTCCTTCGTCATAATCAAGCCATTGAGCTTGATCATTTATGATTGCTATAAAGCATCTATTTCTCGTGGCAAGTTACTATTCAATCAATAATTGGAGCATTCGAATTTCGCAGATGCAGCAGGGAACACACTTCAAAACTTACTGAAGAGTTACTTGAATCTGTTCGGAGAAAAAGATCCGAATTCTGGCCTAACATCACTAAATTCCAAAATTTATATAAATAGTATATATATATATATATATATATATATATATATATATTATATTTTATTTAAAATATGATTCAAAACGCGACATAAGAAGTCTCATGTTTCAAAACAAGAGCCGAAAACTTCAATATAATTATTTAAATTAAATTGAGTTAATGTCGCGTTTTGGAATCATATTTTTAAATAAATAATTATATTTATGCTCGACTTTTGTATCGAGCACTATTTTTTAAAAAATAATAACTAAAATACTAAGGGACTTTGGATTATTTACCTAACCAGTTCCTTCCTTTTTTCTATATATTTTCACACACACACACACACACACACACACACACACACACACACACACACACACACACATATATATATATATATATATATATATATATATATAAATATATATAAATATATATATATATATATATATATATATATATATAGTATATATAAATATATATATATATATATATATATATATATATATATATATATATATATATATATATATAGTATATATAAATAGTATATATAAAGATATAGATAGATATAGATATAGATATATGAAACATATATATATATATATACATATCTTCACAGTCGACAGAGAATATATATATATATATATATATATATATATATATATTTTTGTATAGATAGATAGATAGATATAAATATATAGATTTTATATCAAAATACTTTTACAAACTTTAGATCGAGTTCCTCACGTCAAATAAAGGACAAGTGTCCATATAAACATATGTCTACAA